TAGATTTAAATATAAGAGAAAATATAAGAAAAAATATAAGAGAAAATATAAGAGAAAATATATAAGAGAAAATATAAAAGAAAATATAAGAGAGAATATAAGAGAAAATTAGTGATATTTATGAAAATTAAACTCTGATAGCTTAATTTAATAAGCTATCAGAATTTAATTTAAAAAAAAATAAAGAACGTGATCGTTGCTCTAAATTTTTTTAAGGAGTGTGATCGTTACTCTTTAAATTTTTTAATTTCAAGAGCTTTAAATAAAAGCCTCGGAATTTTTTTAATATTTTTTTTAGCGATCCGTCACTTTAAATAGTGATGGATCACTTTTTTTTTAAAAAAAAATAATTTCGTAACTTTTAAATAAAGCCACGAAATTTTAATTTTTTTTTTTAGCGATCCGTCACTTTAAATAGTGACAGATCACTTTTTTTTATTTTTTTTAGCGATCTGTCATTTTAAATAGTGACAGATTGCTTTTTTTTTTTTAAAAATAATTTTTTTTTTTAGCGATCTGTCACTTTAAATAGTGACGGATTACTTTTTTTTAAAAAAAAAACAATTTTTTTTTAGCAATCCGTTATTTTGAATAGTGACAGATCACTTTTTTTTATTTTTTTAACAATCTGTCACTTTAAATAGTGACAGATCACTTTTTTTTTAGCGATCTGTCACTTTGAATAGTGACAAATTGCTTTTTTTTATTTTTTTAGCGATTCATCACTTTAAATAGTGATGGATCACTTTTTTAATTTGATTTTTTCCGTTGCTATTTAATAGCAACAAATAATTTTTTTTTTAAAAAAAATTATATGAGCTTTTATTTAAAGCCCCAAAATTTTTAAGACTCGCAAGCCTACTTTAAGGCTCAAGCCTTGTGAGCTAGACTTTAATTGGGCTTGACTCGCGAGCCTATGAGCCTATAATATCAAGTTCAGCTTAGCTTAAATCAGCTCAGCTCGCTAGGCTCACGAGCTTTAAGATTTATGAGAAGCTTTACTCCCATTGATCATTCCAATATAATTATTGAACTTGATAAGGTTAAAAGGTTTTTGAAGCTTAATTAACTGAAAATTCAGCAAAAGTCACAATTAATAATTAACTTTAATAATCAAATTATACAAATGCAACAACAACTAGAAGGTCAAAGAATTGAAATAGAAGATTTAAAGAAACGATTACAGAAAGTTTATGAGGATAGGACTAAGATTCATAATTTATATGATGAACAATATAAAAAGAATGAAGTACTTATTGAACAACAAAATTTATGATTTGTCAATCAGCAGAAACATATTGAAACAATTATTGAAATAGCAAAAGCAGAACGTGAATCTTTATTTGGTGATGTAAAATCATTAATCGGAGATAATGAAAGGTTTTCTATAAAAAGTCTTATAACATACATTTCACAAGAATGCCCTATAAAAACTACGATATTTAAAATATACTTAAAATATATTTAAAATATATTCAGAATATATTTTATTAAGTATTTTTTAAGTATATAAAAAATTATTTAAAATATTATTATTTTATAATTAAAATATATTTAAAATATACTTAAAAA